AAAAAAGAAAAACTTATAAAGTTACAGCTCAATGTTCCGGTACTGCCACTACCATTATCATCGATGTAAATCCATAAACAGAAATTTATGTTAATATAATTCAATGTATAAGCATATTAAATCATAGTCCTATTGAAATACCATGAAATTAACGATAATCAACATGAATATACAATTAATATATATGAATTAAATTTGACGTTGGTAAACAAGCTTTAAATCACTAACATGTACACGTTTAGATGTTAATGAATCATTATTTTGAATTGTATATGATGGATGTTGTTTGTTGACAATCGTATATGGACCAGAAAATCGCTCTTCCAATTTTGCACGATGACCAGGTACTTTGTAAAAAACCAAGTCATTTATTTCATATTGTAGATTTTTGCGATTTTTATCAAAACGTTGTTTCGATTGTTGTTGATGAAATAATGTTTTTTGACGAGCAATTTGACGATAAATGTTCATACATTTAATTAATTTCATCCAATAGTCATTCGGTCGATTGAATTTAAATGTCGCTGGTGTATGATTAAGAGGTAATATAGGATGTCTACCAAACATTAATTGAAACGGGCTATAACCAGTTGTACTTTGTTCTCCTGTATTATAAGCATAAATTACAGGAGCTAAATATTCATCCCAATCATTTAATTCTGCATTATATAATTTCGATAATTGAGGATGAAAAGTTGCATTAAATCTCTCCACCAATCCGTTGGACTGTGGATGATATGCACTGGTTTGTATATGATTGGTTCCTAATAACATTGTTAAATTTTGCATTAATTCATTATTAAAATGAACTCCTTGATCAGTAACAATTCGACGAGGAATACCAAATTTAAATATAAATTGTTCGACGAAAGATTTTGCTGTTGATGTTGCTGTATTATTAGGAAGTGGACATGCTACGACGTATTTAGTATAATAATCCGTAATAACAAGAACATACCTATTACCATTAATTGAATAGTGTGGTGTTGGACCCCAAAAATCCATAGATATTAATTCTAAAGGACCTTGTGGATATTCAATTGGATGTAAATGACCTGGTGGAGCTGTTCGACGAATATTAAATTTTGCACATTTTTCACAGGATCTAATATAATCTTGAATACTTTTTTTCATATTAGACCAATAACATGTTGTTCGGATTTTAAGCCACGTTCTATTAACACCAAAATGTGCAGCTGTTGGATGATCATGGTAACAACTAATCACCTCCTTTTGCATTGTCAATGGAATACATACAACTTTAAATTTTGTATGTGCTGCACGTGGTAGTTGTATGACTTTGTGTAACACATCGTTTTCAATAACATAATCTTTATTATCAAATTTTTTCTGTGACACCTGCTGTCTCATACGAAGTATTTCAGGATCATGTTGTTGTTCTTGGCTAATTCGTTCTAAACTAAAATTAAATGTCATATGTTTTGATGTTAATTTTTCATCATTATTTGTTGATTTTGATTTAAGATTATCATTATTTGTTAATTGGTGTTGATTAATTTTTTTCATGGATCGTGTGGTCACATTTAATTGATTATGATGAACATCAATATCCGGTCTAGACATACCATCTGCATCACCATGATGACTGCCTTTTCTATACATAACTGCAGTTATTTGTGGAATTATTTCTTGATGTTTAATTAACCATTGTTCTATTCGTTTACTATTTGCTTTAATTTTCTTATGGAATTGTTGCAATGGTTTATGATCCGAAAAAATCGTAACATCTCGACCACCTAAATATTGTTGCAATTTCTCCATACACCAAAATATAGCCAAGGCTTCTCGGTCAATGGTCGAGTAATTTCGTTCGGTTGTTGTTAATAATCTGGACAAAAAATAATTATAATGAATTTGTCCATTAATTATTTGTTTTAATGTTCCACCAATAGCATATTCGGAAGCATCAGTGGATAATATAAATGGTGCAGTTGGATGAGGATATTTTAAAACTAATGGTTCTTCAGTTAAAATTTGTTTTAATTGATTTGCTGCTTGTATTTGATCGTTACTCCAATAAAATTCTTTTTTCTTCTTTTTTATTTTATTTGTCACTTTGTGTATAGGTGCAGCAATTTGTGCAAAATTGGGAATGAATCTCCTATACCATCCTATTTTTCCAATAAATTTATTTGCTTGTGATAAGGAACTTGGTTGTGGCATATCAAGTATAGCTTGAATACGTTCTTTGGATGGAACAATTGAATCTTTAGTAATTGTATGACTTAAAAATTCGATGGATTGTTGTGCTATTGAACATTTGGTCGGATTTAAAGTAAATTGATGATTACTTAATATAATAAATAATTCTTGAAGATGTTTCATATGATCATCAAATGAATTCGAAAACACCAATATATCATCAAGATACACAAGAATATAATCCCATCTATTGTATCCAATGATATTATTCATAACACGTTGAAATGTCGGTGGAGCGTTCATCAGCCCCATAGGCAGTACTTGAAATTGATACAATCCATCTTGAGTTATGAAAGCAGTCTTTGATTTATCTGCAGGATGAATCGGGATTTGATAGTATCCACTTTTCAAATCTATTTTCGTAAACCATGAATGACCACCTAATCTATTAAGAAGTTCTTCAACCGTGGGTTGCGGATAACAATCTTTAATTGTAATTGAATTCAGTTTTCTATAATCAATTATAAATCGAAATTCTCCATTTGGTTTTTTCAATAACACCACAGGTGAAGACCATGGAGAATGTGATGGAATTATAATACCAGCTTGCAGCATCTTATCAATTTCATGTTGAATATTTTTTCGTTGTTCAATTGTCTTAAAATATGGTTTGGCATTTACCGGAGAATGATTACCTGTATTAATAACATGATGAACATTCGTTTTGATTGTTCTTGATTGAGATGTATCAAATAAAACAATATGCTTTTTTAAAAGATTAAATATCTGTTGATAGTATAATTGATTATTTCCAAGATGTTGGGTTAACGTACCAATAATTTTATCTAAATCAATTAATTGTTGTTCTGTTTTATGTGTACAATAGGTTTCTTGTATGTCAATATTTGAGAATAATGTAGAACAATATACATCTGTAGGTAAATAATCAACTGTACCCACAACCATGGATTTTGGTAGTGTTACAATTCTTGTTGTTGGATTATCAATTATTAATTGAATATTATTATCTTTAACATTTACCAATCCATCACAAATTCTAATTCGTTTATGTTGTTGGATTCGTTTATGAATAACATTCAAATACATTTTCTTTTTATTTGAAATACCTGGTACGAAAACATTAACAACAGCTCTACATCTAGGCAAAATTGTACATTGTTGAGATAATCTAGCAGAGTTTGGCTTCTCAAATTTAACATATAAATGTTGATGTTTATAATGAATAACAAGACATTGTTGTTGAATTTTTAGTTCTATTTTATATTTTCTTAAAAAATCCATTCCTAAAATAAAATTAGTTGTTAAATAATCAACAACAATAGCTCTTATTTGACAATTGAAATTGTTGATCTTTAAATTCAAATAAATCCATCCATGCTGAATTATTTTTGTTCTTGAATCGCCTAATGTGATTTCACCTGCTTGCCTATGAATTTGATCCTGACAATTTAATTTAATAATGGTTGACATTGTAATTAACGATGAAGTTGCTCCCGTATCAATCATAGTAGAAATTTTAATGCTATTAATCCAAGTTGAAATAAAAATTAACGATGGAGAATGTAAATTGACGAGAGCTGTACCATCATTAGCTCCCGCTAATAGTTTTTTGAATAACAATCACGAGCAAAATGACCAATTCTATTACATCTATAACATCTAACATTTGTCGATGATTGATACAATTTTCGTTGTTGTTGTGGTTGTTGTTGTGAGTAAGGTTTTATCGATGATTTAATTGCTGATACGGAATCAATATGTGAAAATTGTAAATTATTCATTTCTATATTTAATGATAAATCTAATTTTTCTTCTGCTTGTGCTAATTCCAAAAATTGTACTGCTGTTTTTGGATCTCTTCTTATCACCTCTTTTTTCAACGACGTTTTAAGACCAGCTTTTAAATAAGAAACTTTATAATGATCATTCATATTTAAATCAATCATATCGAATAACTCTATCATATCATTATAATAATGTAAAACAGTTTCGTCACAATCTTGGTGACGACTACCAACCTTCTTTAATGCTAATTCGTGATGCATTATCGATGAAAATGTTTTATGAATTTCGATTGAAAAAGTTGACCAATCATTTATTGTCGACATATTATTAATAAACCAACGCCGAGCATCGTCC